CCATTGTTGGATATAGGTCTCCCCCAGTTCTCTCCATCTTTCCCTATTTTGAGCTGTTCTCTGCCATGTGGGACCTCCTTGTTTTCTGATGTCATCTTTCCACCTCATCTGTGGTCTGCCTCTTGATCTCTTTGCATTGTATGGACGCCACTTTCCGATGGCATTGTTCCATCGTCCGTCTTGGAGACGTTCATTGTGTCCAGCCCATTTCCATTTCAGTTTTGCTGCTTGTTCTATCGCGTCTACTGTCTTTGTTCTGGTTCTGATCCACTGGTTACGTTTTCTATCTTTAAGTGATACACCCAACATTTGTCTCTCCATCGCTCTTTGTGCCTTCCTTATCCTATCCAAATTGGCCTGTGTAAATGTCCATGTCTGTGCTCCGTAGGTGAGCACCGGTATTATACAGGAGTTATATACCTTGCTTCGTAAGTATAGAGGGATTGTTTGATTTTTTAGAACGTAAGAAAGTTTGCCGAACGCTGCCCATCCCATTCTTACTCGTCTCGATATTTCGGCTGTTTGATTTTCTCTGTTAGCTCTGATTGTTTGTCCTAGTAGATATACTCATTTACCTGTTCTATTTTTTCTGATTGTATTTTTATTGCCTCTTGGTCTTCCGTGTTTGTCATTACTTTTGTTTTGTTGAAGTTAATTTTTAGGCCTTTGTGCAGTGATTTTTCATGAAGTTCATTCAGCATTAATTCCAGTTCTTGTCGTTCCGAGGAGATCAGGAGTATATCATCCGCATATCTAAGGTGATTAAGGTATTTTCCGTTAATGCATATTCCTCTGTTTTCCCAATCTGTTGATTTTATAATGTCTTCGATGGTTAAGGTAAACAGTTTAGGTGAAATTATATCGCCTTGTCGGACTTCCTCGTTTAACTTTTATAATATCCGTTATTAATTTGTCGTCCAGAATTACGGTCATGGTTGCGTTTTGGTAAATATCATGTATCAATTGTCGGTATCTTGAATCTATTCTACTATTGACCAGAGCTTCTTCAACCGCCCAGTGTTCAATGCTGTCGAAAGCCTTTTCATAATCTACGAATGCTAAGTACAGCGGAAGGTTACATTCATTGGTTTTCTCAATTAAGATTTTAAGCGCATGTAGATAGATGGTCGATTGTGCTGTATCCTTTCCTGAATCCGGCCTGTTCCACTGGTTGGTAGTTATCAAGTTTATAGGTTAGTCGGTTGTTTATTATTCTTGTGAAGGTTTTATATAGCTGTGACAAAAGGGAAATAGGACGGTTGAAATATCAATATTGATAGTTAAATTAGCCTCTTTTAACTTATTTTTAATATGTTCTTAGAAATTATCGGTTTAAGCCGAATTGCATAAGAAAAAAGGCATGACAGTAAATTGAAAGGAACGTCTCCCGATGACAATAAAAGCTGGTTTTCTCTCGAAGAGGGATCTAAAGGAATTTGGCAGGAAGCTTTTCTCAAGTCAACGGAACTTATAAATTTGGTACCCTTCAGTAAAGCAAGAATCCTATCAATATTAGGCAAAGGTTACTAGTCTCGTTTAGTTACCTCATTGAGAGCTCTACCGTCGAAACAAAAGCGATACTCTCTGTTATTTTTCTTAACTAATAGTACCGGTGAACACCATGGACTATTAGAAGGTTCAATAACACGTTTTTTAAGAGGGTTTCGCGTCTCCGGTAACAATATTCATCTGGATTTTACCCGTGTGGCCTAATCCATTCATATTGCTAATTTGGGAGAAAGATTCGATAGTACTTGTCGGGATGTATCTTTGATCTGAACTTAAATGATCTATGGTACATAAAGATACTTCATCCAAGTCATTATCGATATCGGTATTTAACTGAAAATCGTAAAAGCCATTGGTGAAATTACTTTAGACGATTTTTAACAACGCATATAGAAACAGAAAAAAAAAAGAAAATTAGTTTACAATCAGGGATAATAAACCATTAAATATCCTGCTAAAATTGGTTAAAGTTTAACGTGTCCCTTCATAAAAGTTATAGTTTCAAATATCGAGCAATCACATACATCTACCTACTTCTAAACCAAAATTCTTCGTTACTAAAATAACTTGTTATTGATCAGCGCACCTTTTATAATTATTTTATATTTCAATTTGTTTAAAGTCTTTTTTTAATATTTAAGGCCCATTCAGAAAATAAATATTCAATTTTTGGATATTCTAATGTATATCACTAAAAATAAAACTGAGTTTTGCGTCAATCAATAGTTCATACTTAGTGTGACCAACTGGTCCGAAAAATCCGGGACATGGCCCGAATTACGAAGTCGTGTCCCGAACAAGGCTTCCGGGACATCCGAATTTTTAACTTTTTGGTAAAATTCTATTTTGAAATTTTAAAATACGTTATTCTTCTAAGAATTCACATAAAATTGAATTTTTGGGTCGAAAAAAGTCGAAAAATTTCTCGAGTGCAATACTAATACCACATCCAAAACGCATGCATTTTATCGTGGTATTATTTTATAGGAAAACTCAAACTGTGCACTTTTTTTCGTTTCTGTATTTTAATTATCTTCTTCTGAAAAGATTATTCAAAAACGATAACAACTCATGTATTGTATACACATCAATCATGCCGACCGAGGTATGCAGCATTCAACGATGTAATGATTGCTGATAAATGCTTTTTTTCGGCTTTGTCAACCATTCTAAGTAGGTAAACAAACGTCCTTGATTTCATTCGCGCTATATTCTTCTATTGTGCGGCTAACATTATTCACAAAACGTCGAGCGCGTTTTTTCATTGATTACAAAAATTGCTGTTTCTTGTGGCATACTCTTGTTCTAAAGCTATTTTCTTGTGGCATTTTAAGGTAAATACTATTTAAATGGGAATAAGCCACAATTACAGGTTAAAGTAAATTTATTGACGTTTTAATTTCCACTTCGGAAATCGCTTGTAATGTTTGTATGTTGAGAACGATTTCCCAAGTGGAAAAATATAATTATTATAACCAATTATGGCTTCTTCTTCTTCAAGTGCCGTCTCCATCAATGGAGGTTAGCGGTTATCGTGGCAAACGTTTGTCTATCTTCAGCTGCTCTTAAGAGTTCCTCAAATCCAAGTCCTGTCCAGTTTCTGATATTACGTAACCAGGACAATTTTTTTCTTCCAATTCCTCGCTTTCCTTCTATTTTGCCTTTTATTATCCACTGAGGGATGTAGTATTTCTCGTTGCGCAACAAATGCCTAAATAACTGGTTTTTCTTCTTTTGACTGTTCTCAATAGTTCTTTTTCTAAATTGAGTCTAGCTAGTACTTCTTCATTTGTTTTTCGTGCTGTCCAAGGAATTTTTAAAATTCTACGGTACACCCACATTTCAAATGCCTCGATTCTATTCAGGCTCTTTATTTTTAAAGTCCACGTTTCGACTCCGTAGAGAAGAACAGACCAGATAAAACATTTTACAAGTTTTAATCTCAATTTAATATTTATATGTGTATCGCAGAATAGAACGCGCATCTTAAAGAAACTATCCCTAGCTTGAGCAATTCTCGCTTTAATTTCTTGTTCTGGGTCCAGCTTGCAATTAATCCAACAGCCAAGGTATTTGTATTGGTTTACCTGTTCTAAAATATTCCCATTTATTTTTATAGGTAAGGGGATATTCTGTTTTCTTTGGATCACCATTACTTTTGTTTTTTTCGTTAATCTTCATTCCAAACTCTCGACAAGCATCCTTAAGGTGGTCTATAACCCTCTGTAGGTTTGTGTCTGTATCAGCCAGTAGGACAGTGTCATCTGCATATCTTATGCTAGATATTGGTTCTCCATTAATTTTTATTCCCGTGGAAAGGTTTTCCAAGGCTTGCTTGAATAGTAGTTCCGAGTAAAGATTGAACAGCATAGGGGATAGTATGCATCCTTGCCTTACTCCTTTATTTATACTAATATTTCTAGATGTATGATCGTCGATCCTAATCTTGGCACTCTGCCTCCAATATAAGTTCTTAATTAATCGAGATCTTTACTATCCAAGTTGATGCTCTGCAAGGAATTTAACATTTTATTATGGTTTACGCGATCAAATGCCTTTTCAAAGTCTACAAAACATAGAAAGACATCCTTTTGTTGGTCGTAACACTTCTGCAGCAGTACTTGTAATGAAAACAAGGCCTCTCTGGTCCCCATTCCGGCTCTGTATCCAAATTGATCGTATCCAACTTCTTTTTCACACCTTTTGTATACCCTATTGTGAAGTATTTTTAATAGAATTTTAAGCACTTGGCTCATAAGACTTATTAATCTAAAATCTGCGCAGCGCCTGGAGTTAGCTTGTTTTGAAATGGGAATAAAAATAGATTCTAACCATTCCTCTGTATTTCCCCACTATCGTAGATTGTATTAAACAAAATTACTAACAAATCAATGTTATTACTTTCGATCAATTTAAGTATTTCAGGATAAACTTCATCAGATCCAGGGCTTTTGTTGGTCTTTAATTGTTTAATGGCATATTTCACTTCGACTTTTAGAATTGGTGGGCTTTCAGTAACATTATTTATTGTAATATCTATTCTTTCATCTCGAACAGCTGTTGTATACATTTTTCCCATTCTTCTATTTTATCTTTGGTGTTATGAATTAACTCTCCGTTGTTATTTACCAGTGGGCAATGTTGTTTTTTGCGGATGAATGAAAATTCTTTCACCTTCTTGTACATTAAAGTAATCATGTCTATGTTCTAATTCTTCTATTTCTTTACATTTTTCTTCGAGCCATTTCTCTTTTGATTCTTTTATTTTCCTTCGTATTTCTGTATTTAATCGTTTGTAATCGCTTGTGTTCTTATTTTTGTATTTCCTCCTTTCGTCTATCATCTTTAGAATAGCTGGTGTCATCCAGTCTTTTTTTGCCATTAATCGTGTATTTGGAATTTCTTCCCTTGCAGAATTGACGAGGATGGATTTTATTTGTTGCCAAGTTGTATTTATATTTTGGATATTTATTTGGGTTCGGTCTATTTCTGAGAGTTTTTCATTTAGTTTTACAGTGGTTTTATCTTTAATCTGTACATCTTTTAGTAGTTCCATATTAGGTTTGTTCTTCGGCTTTGCATTTTTTATTACTTTAATTCTTGTTCGAATATTTGGTACTACAGGGTTGTGGTCGGAATTTGCATCAGCACTAGGATATGTTTTTGTACTTGTAATGGAGTTACGAAATCGTTGGTTGATTAAAACATTAATTATGGCTTAATCCCATCAAAAATATCATTGTCAACATAAAAATGTTAAATAATCAATAAAGTGATTGTATTACAGTCCTTGTTTAAAAAATAAAAATGGCCCGATTTTCAATGAAAAGTCCCGGATTTCAGGTAATTTTTTTAGCCTTGTCCCGAATTCGACTGAATTGGAGTTGGTCACACTATTCATACTAAGAGAATGGATTCACAAAGTCTCTTTGTAAATTAAGGTTACGAATATCGCGAGATAGTTTCATGGTGTTCAAGCCAATGGGAGATTTTTAATGACCCAGCATGAATCACATATAAAACCATACTACAATATGTAAACCAACTTTAGAAACTATGCCATCAAATCTTATCAGTACATGTGAGACACACATGTACTGATAAGATTGTAAACTTACCACTCTAGAAGAGACTTGAAATTGCGAAGGAAAACTCGTATAACGATACTCATCGTATCACCATGTCAAAAAATTGTTAAAAATACGCAGTAAAAACAACATTCTCATAAAAAAATAAATTGAAAATTATTGAAATATTTGCCCAACAACTTAGTAGGCTGTCCCAAAATTCACGCAAGATTTGAATTTGCCGCCATTTGTGCAGTAAAGTATTGGCACTAAAAAACAATTTGACAGCTGACAGTTTAGGGTTAGAAAAATTAAGCGTTACACGATAGAACAACGCGTTTTCATTGTTGAAAAATATTTTAAAAATAATAAACGTTTGGCGCCATATGTCAAAACTTTGGTACAAAATATGTCCGAAAGATTGATATAACATCGTCATCACTGTGAAGAGAATAATTGAAAAATTCGGGAGACTAGATCAATTTGTGATGCTAGACACAATGTTCGTCCAAAAATAAGTCGCTCAGATATCGATATGGAAGGAGTGCGTGTGAGTGTGGGTGAAAATCCAGGAACATCAGTTCAGAATTATTGCAAACTTCAAGAAGCTCTCTACAGCGTATACTCAATGAAGATCTATGTTTCCATAGTTACAAAGATCAATTGACACAAGAATTGAAGCTTAATGACCATGCACAGCGAAGAGAGTTCGTTGAATGTATTATTAAAATTAACAATTGGATGCTGATTTTTTTAGCAAAATCATCCTTAGCGATGAAGCCTATTGTCACCTTCATGACTTTGTTGATCGTCCAAAATTGCCGCATTTGTGGTAGTGAGAACCCACATGTGACTGTGAAAAAACGCGTCCACAGCATTTTACTGTTTGGTGGTTTAGGCTGGAGACATCATTGGATTATTCTTCTTTGAAAATAAGGCTGGTCAAGTAGTGACTGTTACTGGTTCTCGATATCCCAACATGATAACAGAGTTTTTGTCTGCCTAAATTATATGGCATTGATATAGACGAAATATGGTTTTAAAAAGACGGTGCCACATGCTATGAAATAATTCAATTACTGCATGAGACATTTCTTGGTCGTGTACTCTCTAGTTTCGGTGATCACAATTGGTTACCTAAATCGTGTGATTTAAAACCATTGGATTTATTTTTAGGGGGTTATTTGAAGGCAGAGGTCTATGCCACAAAGCCTACAACCACCCGTGCATTAGGAGGAAATTCAACGCTACGTCAATGAAATTCAGCCACATTTATACAAAAGGGTCATGGAAAATTTTGACAAAATAGTGCGTATGCGCCAGCAAAGCCATGGAGGCTTATGTGCTATTCCATATATAACCATATCCTCTGTACTTTATGATTTCATAAAAAAAATTACATTAAAAAAAAAGCAGTGTTTTCTATTCAATTTAAATCTTGCGTAAATTTTGGGACACCCTTCACTACCATTCCCAGGATACTGAACCAGATAGATAATTAGAAACAGAACAATATTAACCAATGATTCCTAAAAAGATTAAAAAATTGCACCTGTTTAATATTATAATATAAGTATATCAGTATAATATACACTGTCCGCTGATTCTTTACACACGTACGACATTATTCGCGATTATGTTTTATAACACTCTATTTTCTTTTATTCGCAGAACCTAAAACCGCTAAATTAGTCCACTTTTCCCTTTACAATAGAATAAAACAAAGACAGTAATAATAATAAAAGAAAGAAGTAGGTTTTCTAAAGCTAATGGCAAATTTACGGACACCAAACAAAGAGGAAAGTCTTAGAGAACTGATAAACACGCACCTTCCGGACTCAACAATTCTGGATGATGCAGATAGGCAAACCAACATAGACCAAAGGCTGATTAGACCAAGGTCTACAGATTGGGAAATGGCCACAGCAATCACAAGACCAAACAGAATTAGATGGACTGTAAATAAGTTTCGGTTATATAAGTCTCCAGGGACCGATGGTATATATCCATTACTGTTGCATATGGAATTAGAGGTATTGATATCACACCTATGCAAGCTCCTCAAAGCCAGTTTAGCATGGGGGGTCGTACCGGAAATATGGCAAACCAAAAAGTGATATACTTGAATAAGGTAGGTAAAGTATCAGACCTAACACCAAAGTCATATAGACCGATAAGCTTATCTTCTTTTCTATTAAAACCGCTGGAAAGGCTTCTTGATAGGTACATCAAAGATGAAGTGCTAAGAGATAATCCTCTAAGCAATCGTCAATATGCATACCAACCTGGTAAATCTACGGACTCATTGAATGATCTAAATAGGCTTACCTCAAAGTTAATGGAAGACAAAGAGATAGCCATGGAAGACTTTTATTGTCTAGGATATACTGACGATATATACTACCAGCTCTTTGATAGGAGCTATGAGTAGTCGAGGAGCACCTGCGGTAATATCCAGATGGATAAGGGCATCCTGGAGAATAGGATAGTAATGCAACCTTGGTAGATGATCTCCTCAAAAATTTGTCCACAGAAGACTTTTATTGTCTAGGATATACTGACGATATAGTAATAAAAACTTTAAAAACCTTTACTATTTCCTAATTTATACATCGACGGCACATATTTGACTTAATTTTTTCGTATAATCATGACGTTTGTGCAAAGAATCAACAGACAGACTATATTGATTTCAGTTGTCCAATAAAAAAAATGGATCAGCGTGGTAACAGAATGTCAAAACTGCAAAAGGTTTGTAAAATCTACTATCTATCCAATGTTAAAGTACAATTTTTTTCTATGGAACTGAACTAATTTAATTTTGCTTTGATACTAATGTTATCTTTGTAATAAATATTAGAAAAGAAAATTAGCTTTACCAAAGATAGGCCAAAGGTTGCAAAACCGAGGTTGAAAGATTGGGAGAAGCCGTGTTAAAGACTTTTCCAAACGGATTCATGGCTTAATGTTTATTCGAATTTATCTTAATGAATGCTTCCAAATGCCACTTATAAATATATACTGAATATTGTTTATTATTAATGACTTGTTTCCATTGTCACGTTTCTGAATTTTCATGTTTTTGGAAACACGACAATTATTTCCAAGTTTAGGCTTTTATTTATTATTGCCAGGTTCCTCCAACAAACGAATTTTTTTGAAATAGTACATCCATTAAACATCTTTTTTAAACATCTGAAAAACAGATCAGATAGTGATCTGTTTTATTGATATTTATTGAATATCGATAAAGAAAAAAATTCAAGCAAAGTCTTCTTTGGAACATTCCTCTGAAGTATTAATGAATGATTATTCTAATAATACTTATCTTATTTTTTCAATATTGGATAGATAGTAGCAACAATATGGTGCAACAATTTTTTAAAGAAAGAGTGCTGTAGTTTAATAGAAAGTATGCAAGTATGGAGATAGACCCTTAACCATATAATTACCCATGTTAGATCTGTTAGAATAATGTGATTTTCTGTGCGCACCAGCCGTGTCTGAAGATTGTGGTCCGTGTTTCCAGGACGATGAGGAAGATGCCTGAAATAGAAAAGTACAGTTATAAAATTTACGTTATTAGCATTTTATATACAAGTATATATTATGGTTCGTTGCAAGATAATCTAGAAAGCGCAAAGCTCTGGCAACCCTGTAAGTGCCGAATCAGGTCTTATCTAGAAAATAAATTATCCTGACATCTCGTCGATATTCTATTCCTTCCTACTACTGGAGCCTTTTTCATTTAAAAGTTTCGACATTGGTTGCTGTTCTGACATCAAATTTTCGAAGGGGTCTCCTTCCTTTCGGTTCTTAATTTAGTTTTTGTGTGTTTAATATATTTTTATCCACTTTGTGTAGGGTACTGGAACCAGTTTTGGACACTCAACAAATTAAATCATTATATTAAGCAACCTTTTACTTTGATTACCTCCACAAACACGGAAAACCTTAATAGAAATCTGTAATATTTGCTCTGTGTACAACTGCTTGTAGTTTAATGTGTGTTTATTGCTTTTAGTTGATTTTTGTCGTTAAAAAGATTTACTTTCGGTGTCCAATACTGGATCTACAATTAAACGTTTGTTCGGAAAATGAATTTTTAAAAGTGTCCATTTAAGGGTATGTACGTTTTTATTTAAAATTACTGGTACATACTTAGAAATAAAAAATGCTGTCTTCTGCTATAAACAGGAAATCTAAATGTTAAGGGGATCCAGTATTGGACACGGCCATCAAACGAATGTAAAATATTTTTTTATTTTACAGGTGATTATTTATGATGGATAGAAAGGGACATAAGAATTATACCACTGCTTAAATGGCAGAAGCTCCATCAGCAGCTAAAATGTGTATGCCAGTTGCAACTGCAAGTAAGAGATTTGGTGTACCTCGTCTTATATTGCACAATAAGCTGAAAGGAATAAGTCCTGAGGTATGCAATATGGGCCCTCCAACAGTTTCACTGCAGATGAGGAAGATCGCACTGTTAAATGGATTATCGACATTGTAAGAGCTGGGTTTCCTGTAACGAAACAATGTTTAGTCAACACAGTCACCAAGTTGATAAAGGAATTGGATAGAAAAAACTTCATTTACCGAAGGTACTCCTGGTAAAAAGTGGTTTATGTTGTTTCTGAACAGACATCCCAATATATCGTTGAAGATGTCGGAGAAACTTACCAGTTACCGTGGCCAATTAACAGAAATTGATATACGCAAATGGTTTCAAGAAGTTTCAAATTATTTTAAAGATAATGGATACTGTGAAATTTTAGGACATGCACATAGAATTTTGAATGGGGATGACACACCTATTTCATTGTGCCCTAAAACTGGGAAAGTTTTGGCACCTAAAGGAGTTAAAAATATCTATAGTATATCAAAAACGCCAGAAGAAGAAAATCTCACTGTTTTACTTTGTAATAAAAAATTTGTCCTCCTATGGTAGTATATTCTTATAAGAGGGTACCTTCAGACAATGTTACCAAATTTCCGAAATCTTGAGGATTGGGCAAATCGGCCAATGGATGGAGAGGTATTATACATGGCAAATATATTTGGGCCATGGGTAAGAGAAAACAACATATAACGACCTGTTATATTTTTTTAACATTGAATTTATACAATGTTTGGAAAAGGATACGGGACATGGTTTTAATTCCTGAGAAAAGTTAGAACGAGAATTTGTCACTAGAGAATTTAAATTAAAACCTCATCAAAAGCTAGTGGTTCAGATGAAATAAGTATCTACTATCAACCACTTCATCGAAAGGGGGATAATCAACAGTTATTTGTTAAAACAAATAGCCCAACTGGTGATTCCGTATTTAAAAAATATCTCTTTTAACCTAAAAACGAAGTACAATCACAGCGACAATTTAAAGAAAGATTATGCTCTGTCATTACATCAGACTATTGGTTAAATGAGCAACACAAAAGAAACCATGAGAAAAGAAAAAGAACAACTGAAAGAAAGCAGAACGAGAAGAAAAACACAAGGCAAAAAATTGAAAAAGAAAAGATTTTTAAAAAATGCCGAAAAGGAAAAAGAAAAAATCTGCCTGGAATTAAAAAAGGAGAGTCGGAAAAAAACTTATTTGTGAAAATAAGGTACACAAAATATGTGTCCTTTCCAAGTACATTGACAATTTAGGACTTGCTTTAGTCTCCGAAGATTATGAGTTTGTCTGTGAAAAGTGTAAAATTACCGTGGATAGTAGTGATACATGTGAGAGTTCAGGAGAAGGGGACTAGTTAAATTGCAGATAAATTTTGGAGTATATTAATCAATTATTTTATAAAAAGAGGTTAATCTTTGTAAATGGGTATATTTATTTAAAAAACCCTTAAAAGGGCCACATCAATAAAACAAACGTTTTCGGACCACACAGTCCATCATCAGGTTTTTAAAATCGAAAAATGCCTAAAAATAAGTATAAACCATTTAGTTAAAACAAACGAGATTGTGAAATTTTGACTATGGTTGAAAAGCAAAAGATGGTTATACTTACTAGGTCACAATGCCTGAGCCACCAAAATACTAGGGTAAAAACCCTTTAAATTACATTTAGTTATGAAATATTGTACATTGTGTTGTAAAATAACTGTGATGTTCAGTATTAAATTAAATTTGACTATAGGTAACACATGGCTCAATAGGGTTCCAGAGCCGGTGAGAGGGAACCTCTACACTCGGAGAACAGCGTGGAACTGATTGACAAGATACTTTTGAAGGATGAAGATAACAGAATGTCAATGCAACAAAAACTATAATAGTTGTACATAGTATTACTACAGCCAAAAGATTCAACAAGTTTTGATGATTTAAAAAAAAAAATAACAACAATCTAGGTGTTGGGATTTAAAAACTTTTTTATTTATTAATTTAGGGTATAAAAGATGTCAAATCAATGATGGTTTTATAGTCATGATTAATAGAATGACCTGTGCCTTAGGCAACTTATGTTGCTTTTCGTCGTATGGAATGTGGTCTAAAGTGTATTTAATATTGGGTTAGCTTATATATATATGAAATTTATCCTTTTATGTTTAACACATCTAGGACAAGGTAAAAATTAAATAACAAATATTTGAAGCTAATATCAGACCTCATATTTAAATGACTTTATTTAAGACTGCTCCTATGGTGAAAAATTAATAAAATTAAGTTTAGTAATATGGAAATCTACAGGCTGAAGAAATTAAAGTAGTAACATATGTGATTGAATTTAAAATTGAAGAGGCTGGGTTCCTCAGAGACTAATGAGAATAAAAGTAAAGGAAATGACTGAAGAAAAGGAGGGGGGCGGTTGAAGGAGAAAAGGAGTTGATCAACAATTAGAGATAATAGGGGTCCTTTATACTTAAAGTATCTAGCACCCTGAACAAAATCTATTTTGGTGGTATTAAATTCAGTTTGTAGAAACCTGAATATATTTCTGTATATATATATATATTTTTGTTATACGTGGTATACAGCCAGCTACAGGTTTTACCAAAACAAAAAAAAAAAATTTTTTTTGTTTTGGTAAGAGCACTCGGTCCAGCTTATTACAAAAATGTGTCTTAATTTGATCCGCTAGCCCAAATTTGCCGGTAAGGAGAAAAAATCGAATTAAAAATTCTCCACTTTTTCAGCCAATATAGACCTCCAAATGATAATTTTTCTCACGAACCGTTAGATGTAGGAAAATTCTGAGCATGGCAGACGATAGAGCGGTCAATTTTATGTAAGAAATGTCTACTCGCTTGACTTTCTCACCAAAATTGACGCCAATATAGCCGAAATACGAAATTTGAAAAAATCCAAGGGTACTCCCTTTGATGATTTTTTTCCAAATTTTTATGAAAAAAAAAATTTTCTTTATGTTTTGGTAAGAGCAGTCGGTCCAGCTTATTACAAAAATGTGTCTTAATCTGATCCGCTAGCCCAAATTTGCCGGTAAGGAGAAAAAATCGAAATAAAAATTCTCCACTTTTTTAGCCAATATAGACCTCCAAATGATAATTTTTCTCACGAACCGTTGGATGTAGGAAAATTCTGAGCATGGCAGACGATAGAAAGGTCAATTTTATGTGAAAATGTCTACTCGCTTGACTTTCAGACCAAAATGGACGCCAATATAGCCGAAATACGAAATTTGAAAAAATCCAAGGGTACTCCCTTTGATGATTTTTTCCAAATTTTTATGAAAAAAAAAAAAAAAATTTTTATGTTTTGGTAAGAGCACTCGGTCCAGCTTATTACAAAAATGTGTCTTTATCTGATCCGCTAGCCCAAATTTACCGGTAAGGAGAAAAAATCGAATTAAAAATTCTCGTCTCGGCTACAGCTAAAAATTTTTCCCTGTGGATTTTTTTTAATTATTTTATATACATATATAAAATGGTGTCTATTTCAATTGCAGATAAATTTTGGAGTATATTAATCAATTATTTTAAATACATATATAAAAATGGTGTCCATATTAATTAGTGTCCAAATGACTAAATTAAGATCGATTGAAAATATCGATGTCCAATACTGGAGAAAAGACATTAGTTAATAATAAATACATTTTTATATTAAAATGAACTACTGTAATGATTACAGTCTGAACAACAAGCAGATTAATAATTACCAGTAGAAAAAAAAATTAGGTTTTAAAGTGTCCAAGATTGGTTCTATTACCCTATATGTTGTTTCCATTTTTTACCTTCTACTCTTCTGCGAAATCTAATTTCACTGCCTTGCATTCTAAAAATATCTATAATCAACGAATATGAACGCTTAAACGTTTATAATAATTGTTATAAGCACCAAACAACTTATAAGTAACCACTTTAACGTCAGTCATCTCCAGTTGATTACGTTTCTAAACTATTCCACAGTCGTTCTTTGTAATTTTATTGTTTTGTGACAACAAAATGTTTTGATTATCTTAGATTGTTTTGATCAGTCTTTACAAAATTATTATTATTACAGTTTAATAAATAAAATACAAAATTTTCTACCAATTTACATTCTTCGGTATATTTTACCACAAATATGCCTAATTTGG